TTTGATTATTTTGTGTGTAACGTGTCCGATTGTTGCTAATGTGTCGGCAACAAACCAGAGATACACAAACTTAATGGAGAAAAAAAGACAAATTAATGCAATTTGATTTAGATTATTTTTGTTTCCTGCTGTTTTAAAAAACAAATACATCCCATTAAAATACTAATATCACATTCGGCCGTTTATGCACATCTCAGGGAACCTATTACAGGATTAGTTTTTGAGCAAATGATTTTTGAACAAAGAAGGTTTTTATCTCGAAACACGAAAATGCACATAATTAGATTATTTATTAATTCACAAGTTTGTCATTAGCATTGTTGTCAAATTAAAAGTTAATCAGGCAAATGGTCCCACCAAAGCATCATGTAAGGCTTCTCAGAGGGAGGTTTTTCATGGTAATCTGTCAAGGTGTTTGAAGCTATAATGGGTAATGCATCTTTTGTCTGGGCGGATACATAGTCAGCTTTTTTACCCAGTCCCAGACCCTTTAAGAGGGTCATGGCAGATCAAAGGTGCTTATCACGGCCTTTAGGCCTGACAGCTCAAACCCGACATGAAAAGCTTGTTTCTTAAAAAAAAAAAAAAAAAAACCCTGGACCCTTTTTCATTTAAAAAGCACACAAACTGTGAAATAATTGAAAAGTTATGTTAATCAAGAGCAGGAACACAGTGGGAGCTCCCAGATTCCCAGGCTCTGCTCTGGTCGATAACTAAGACATAGAAGGGGTGCTCAAGAGCGTAACCTAAGAAATTAAACACCTCAAAAAGCAATTTGCTAAACGTTGCACTTTTATTTATTGATTGATTGCCTAAAATTCATGCAGAATGTACTTTGTAGGTATGTTACTATATTCTGTATCACCTCTCTCAAAACATTTATTATTTAATAAAGTTCAGTCTGGCTTTTCACCTCCAGGTGATCTGACTTGATGGAGGTGCAGCTTTTGGTGGCACCTGCCTCCACCACCTACCAGCACCTTCATTCTGTACTCCCTCTCATGCTTCTCCCTCCTCTCCCACACCATGAATCAGACAAAAGGGAACCCAGTGAGAGTGTCTCTTACGTTCTTTTCTGTCTTCTTTTTTTCCAAGGTCAGAAAAGGCTTGAATGATCTGACGATGGGCAAGCGTCCAAAAAACGGGTGACAGAAAGAAGAGAAAGAGTAAAAAGGAGACCGAGTAAAAGAGTTTTTTCTACGCTTTTAAAAATCCCTTAGAGGAGATATAAATGGCAAGTCCACAGTTGACTAGACATGTATAGTGCAGGATTTGCTTGTGAAGGCAGCTTGAGCTTATTGACAATCCCAGCCAAAACATGTCAAAGGTTAAGAGATCTTGCCAATTGCAAGTGGGGAGCCAAAAGTGCCTTTTTATTTCCCTCAAAAGGACCATCGGTTTATATTTGTGCTGCAGAACGAGGCAAAGTGCTGACCTCTGGGTCCGTGTGCAAAGAGTTAATTTGTCCTTATTGTTTGTACTTCTTTAAAATGATTTGTGTTCAAAGCATTTGAAGCAATTTTGTATTTAGAAATATTTCTCTCTTTTCTCAACATGATTTTCTTGAATAATAATTCTGCTGAAAGTAAAAAGTTGCATTCAACAGTCAGTAATCAGGGCAGGTTCACATCTTATTACAATTAAAGAATGCATTTTAACACTAAATTTACATTGAAAAATGCTTTACAGGCTTAATGTACCAATTTAAAATTGAGTTGTCAGATGGTACCGATACATCAACAATTTCCCTGTTTTGAATTATCTTAAATGTTTCTTGTGAATTTTTGTTAAAGTGTGAAAGCCATACATATGACATGCATTTGTGTCACTTCATTGCAGAAAGAATGTACAAAGGAAAGAAATTTATAATAAACAAAATGACAAAAACAACAGAAAGGTGGAAAAAAAAAGTTGAATTGTTTGATGTTGACCACAGAATGAGAGACTTTTAAACTTACTGAGTGAGTTATGGATCAAAAAAACAATAT